TATGCCTTGCTGGACCTACCGAACGCCGCCTTTCATTATTGCTGGAACAACTAACCAAAATGTCTCCAGCAGAACAGTTCCTATTGGACCGCTTGGTATATACTACAGATCGCAAGCGCAGGCTCTCCCGCCAGCGATCCTTATGTGATGAGCATCTTGCCTCATATAACACAGATCGGATACCAATAAGCAATAGATCTAATCGATCCTTGGCCAATCGGCGTTCAATGAGTGTGTGTTCCCCGCCCCCTGGGACTGCTCCCCCGGCTCCCCTGAAAGAGGCCACTCTTGCTTCCCCCGGGCCGTTGAGGGAGCGCGGTCCTGGGGGTGAGAGTGGTCCACCTACAGTGTCAGCCATGCTAGCTTCATTGCAACGTTCTGTTGCAGCCATTCGGGGGCGTGGTTCTGGCAACAACCAAAGCTCACATAAAGAGGGAGCTCCTCTCTTAAAGCCATATAGGTAACGCCACTGCAGCAATACAATGGTCACCTGGCCATTCATTCTGAGTAATAAACAACAGAAAGCAATAGCAGTATAAGCATGCCTGTCTCTTGCTACTGCTACAAAGTAATCGTGACAATGTTTTGTGATGAATATCAGTCTACTGGACTAAAAGTAACAAAGCACTTTTATCAATGCATCTTTCTATGTCTTTGATCCCAGAATTCAAACTTGTCTCAAACAAGACAGACACCATGGAATTATATTTTGTCATATTTTCACTTAACCAGCAGCAGCAGTTAGGAGAATGCTGTTGCTAGTTATAATAATGATAATGCTGCTTGCATGCAGCTGTGTGCTTAGGTAGATTATCGTTTTTTGGAAACAGGTCAGACATATTCAAGTACAGACATAAGGGTGGAACTCTGAACATTGGCTTAACATTGGCTTGGAAAAGCACAGCATTGGATTGCTCTAAATTGGGGCACAGCTTTGAAAATCCCCAGGACTTCGTTGTGATATTTTCATTCTTCCATAACAGAACAGTTTAGGGAAATATAAAAAAATATTTTCCTGTGACTGACAATGAACAGTCAGTGACAAATTTTGTTTCCTGGTTCTAAAGTTTTTAACAAGAATAACAGTAGTATGAATATTTAATTAACCCTCATCCAAAATATTGTTGTATTTAAAGGGGAAATTAGTAGATATCTGTAAGTGAATATGGATCCACACTGGTGCCATTAGTTAACACAACACTGTTTTCTACTTATTTCTTTATGTGGCCAAAAACTATCCTCATTGTACATAATGTGGCCACAAGAAACAAATGAAACTGATCCCAGTGAAAGGAAATATTTAAAATTAATAAGACCAGTTGTGCCTGCCTTTAAACGATTATCTAGCCTACAACTGTGCCAGCCACATTAGCTTCCTAATATTTCGCACTTCTAAGCTTGCATTATATTATTACAAGTCTATATTCACATACCATATTATAAAGACTGAATACAAATGAACTGAAAGAGAAAGGCTCGGGCAACAAGACAACAATCCTATGTATCACCTGTAAATCTAGCATGTTATTTAATACATTCTCATCCTTATTAGAAACATTTTGACAGTGTCCAAGATTCTAGTTCTTCCTAGTTCATTTTACTACATGATGCTTATATTATACATGCACCTTAAGTGGTAAAACCTGTATGCTGAAGCTAATAGCTTAACATTTGTAAGCAATTTAACTTATATAGGTCAAATGTTAAACTTTTCATAGACTCGTCAAAATCTCTCCTGTTGGTATCTTGTTACCTATGATATATTACAACCAAGTTGATGCATTATATGGATTTGGTAACATTGAAAGTTAATTGTAAAGAATCATGCATCATTACACTTACGTACATATATGTGCATGCAAGTTAGCATGCGCACATTCATACACACGTATTCATACATACTGTAAATAACTGCATATACTGTAAATATGACTCACAGAATCATTATATAGCCCAACTTATCCACGATTAATTTTCTAAAAGTAACATGCATGCATTCATAAATAATAATTACAACATTGCATAAATTTCTTTTATAGATTGACACCTGTGTATTCAAATACCTTTGTTATGATCTAAGTGGCCATTAATTCATATGCATATTTTTGTAATGCAAACTTTAATAAAACCCGTTTCATCCTACTTATTTTTTAAAATTTCTTGCACTTGCGTTCAGTGTATTGTATGTACATGTGTGTTTGTGTGTGTCTGCATATGTGCACATATCTATACACACATCCACACACACACACTGTACATGTACTGTAGATAGATATGCACACATGCTCTTAGGTATAACGTAGTTGTTCACATATAATAAATGTTTGCCTTCACACACAAATATTGAATACAATACTGTATACTTTACCTGCACAGTACACACACACACACACACACACACACACACACACACACACACACACACAGGCACACACAGGCACTAATGCAGACATTTGGATAATTTGCATCTTGCACTATACATATACACAAATGCATAAATATGTATGTACAGTACACAAATATTATACTGTATATATATATATATATATATATATATATATATATATATATATATATATATATATATATATATATATATATATATATATATATATATATATATATATATATATATATATATATATATATATCCCTTCTGTAGGTGATCAGGAATATAAGCAAATAATAGGATGTTTGAATAAACTTGGATTTAATCAGACTGGTAGGGACAGATTGGATGACAATATGATGTCTGAAAGGAACCTGGATGTCTTTTGTGAAGCTGTTGCTAAAAGGCAAAGGAAGAGTGAGTTAAAGATGAGTGGTTAAGTCAAGAGTGTCTGAGTAAGGGTGAACCATGATGAGTGATGAACTGGGATTAAACCCAGAATATTATGGATCACATTAAAAGCAGAGAGAGAAAGGTGGGTTTTAATGAGTGTTCTGTATTTTCACCAGGAAATGGGAAGGGGGTTCTGGGAGGACCAATATAACTGTAAAACTATTAGTGAGATTGATAGAAATGGAGCATTTAAATCCAAGACCTAATTGAGGTGTATAAACATCTCAAGGGGCACTACTCAGTCGAGTGTCCATACTTGGAGCTGGCAGACGCTCGCCCCACAAGGGGTCACAGCTCAAGATTGAAGAAGCCGCAGGTCCAGTAAACTGTGAGGGCAAACTTTTTCGGAGTGAGAGTTGTGAACTCTTGGAACAATCTACCAGAAAGTGTTGTGGCGGCACCGAGTGTGAGCTCTTTCAAGACAAGACTTGACCAACACTGGAGCAGGTTCAGGTACATTCAGGAACCGGTGCATGTCCAGTGCTTGCCAACAGTGCGTAACAGAGACGTGACCGATCGCCCAAGCGGCTAACTAGCCAATCAGTGGTGAAGAGGATAAAGGTATAAGTAAAAGTTGATAATAGGGTACAGGTATCCCTTTATTTACGATAGGGTTGTTTTCCTGAAAACCCTAATGTAAATCAGGATCCTTTTAACATGGTTTTCACTGGAGTACATTCCTGGCTTGTCCAACACAGACATGTAACTCATAAAAATGATCCGAAACCTAATTAAGTACAGTAAATGCAAAAATATAAAAATAACCGCTCACCACATTAATAAAAACAAGCCTGTCACTCAACAATGTCTAACTTTATCCCCAGAGACACAATCTTCCTTGAAGCCTTGCCTTTCCCAGAGGCAGGAGAGTCGGCAGGACACTTGCTAGCCATTTTCAAAGTTACAATGTTACTGTACACTGATCATTTCACAGTGACTAAAACAGAGCAAAATCTGAATGATAATGTTTTACTCTCGCCAATAATGGCAAAGTATTACAGAGATCACAAGGTTACGCAATGATTAATAACGAATATGTTTGTAACATGAGCAAGGGCAGATGCGATCATGTTGAAACAAAGCGCGGGATTGTAGTTCACATGATGGCCATGAGACGGCGTGAAGATAGGTGAACTGCACGGAGGGTGGAAAAGCAGTTTATGCACATAGCCATCTTGGATTTCACAAGTGAAGCGAAAGATAAATTTCCCCAGTGTTTACAATACACATCAGCGAGTTTAGTTTGATGATAACTATCGCTAACGTGGATTTTGTCTAATGTAAATAACAATAGGGAGTTAAAACCTAATTAACGTGAACTCGGATTATCGTGAAATGGACGATCGTAAATAGGGGGTTGCTACATGTATTATAGGGGGATCGTTAAGAAATGTGGAGTGCCAGGAATCAATGGAAGTGAAGAAAATCTCATAAAATGCTACAATGGGAAGGTGAAGATAAAAAAGGAGATGGAAGAATGGGGTGAAAGAAACTAGAATTAAAAAGGATGGATATTCAAGAAGCAACACAGCATGTGAATGATAGAAGAGGTGGGTGTTGAAGGAATACCTGTATAGGAATGTGAAAACTGTTAGAGTGAATGGATGTACAGTATTTACCCGTTTATGCACACAATGTATAGTCATCTTTCCCTTAACCGGACTTCAATAGAAATGAAAATATAAAATACAATTACTGTACCAGATTTGGGAGAACCCAAGGTGTTCCAATGTTTACAGTTACAAGAAAGTCTATTCAACTATAATGATCCTAAACTGTGTCTGTATATATCCTGATACATGTGGATTTTCTTGTGCTTTGAAGCAGGCAGTACATTAATTGGTTCTTCACAAAATTCCCCAGCGCATGCTGTGATTGGCTCCTCCCCCTCTCTCCTTTATGGCTCGGTGTTGTCACCCATGCCCAAGCCCATTTATTTCCTATTACTACATGTATTATGATCACCAACTCTGGTGTGGACGTGACATTTTATTCTCTTTTTCTGTGCGTGAAGTAATTATTGAATAATGCCTCAAGTGCCAGCCAAACCTTTAGGGAGGAAAGTCGAGGGAAAAAGCAGTTGACATACAATAGAAGAAAATCTAGAAATACTTTAATTAATTCCCATGAGAGACCAAATGGAGGAATATGAAGTGGGAAGATGTAAAATAGTAATGGAAAGTTGAGTTAGCATTCATTAAATCCTATGCAAGGATAACTGCTGCAAGAGAGCTCAAGTATAACCAGACTTGGTACTCTTAAGTTTAAAAAGTGGATGTTGCATTCTATGATTAATACAAACAGCAGCAAGCTAATACAGTAGTTGTATTACATATAATGTCACTCAAAGGTTTTCAACACTAATGGGGAAGGCTGATTTTAGTATTGGCAGCAAAGACTGGCTGTACAAGTTCTGATGGTGAGTAAAACCCATTATGTATTTAACTTCCCCTCTTCTTTCTTTACTTTCTCCTTTATCATCCACTCCACTTATTTTTATTTTCTCTCTTCACCTTCATAACTGTATAAAGCACTTCACTTCTTTATTTTTCCTTTTATATATCTTTCAACTCACATTATTTTTCTTAATTTCCTATGTTTTGGGTTTAATTTTAGACTGCTGCATAATTATAATCCAGAAAATTATTTGAGTACAGTACAGTACAGTATCCAGTTTAGTGATAATTTTGTCTGGCTAAAGGAGGGTTCACAAATAACCAGAATTCTCTGTTAACTAGGCTGACCAGACACCAATTAATCTGGTTAAGGGAGAGATTACTGTATATTGTATATATAAAACCAACAAAACTGTCAGTGGATGTTTATTTGGTTTCAGACAAATAACTCTCAAGTGATAGTCATCCAGCACTCTTGGACATACAAGTACAGAATTGCAAAATAGATGTATGAATAGTTATTTAACTTTACCATATTGTGATACATCAGTTAAAAATATACAGTTATAATGTTCACTGACATAACCAAAAACTTACTAGACCTACTAACATTTTGGTTATGCTAATGAATATTACATATGTAAATTTCTAACTGATTGATATACAGTACCCTGTAGTTGATGTATCATATCTCAAAGTTCAGTAAATATTCTTAGATCTATTTTGTGATAATAATCTGTAAAAGAACTGGATGAATATTACCAGAGTTATTTGTACTGTATGGGAATACCAGATGAACATTCACTACCACCAAAATACTTGCATACATGTTTCAAATAATGGTTTTGTGATGTATTTTAGCTTAGTTGAATCCTCTATCTATGCATTTCAACACACACACACACACACATTGTACTGCACTTCACTTAAAGGTTTTATGCATCATTTCATGTTTATTGTTAAACAAATACTGTAGATGTGATATACTATTTGTTCTGAATATTCAAAATTTATATAAATATTATAGCTTTTATATCAAAATGTGTAATATAAAAATGTACATTGGTTATTATTTACAGGACAAGTCTCGAACTTTGTCAACATCAAGTGTACATGGACTGGATGAGATGTTGCTTGGCTCAACCTTCTCACGTTGTTGATTTACATTTTGCATTCAGTGACTTAACCATCAATTAAAGGTATGCTTCACATTTCCTCCATCTTTAATATGGTCAACTCTAAGGATGCACTAGATAGTAAATTTCACTATTCAGGCAGATAGTTGAAGAAATCCGGCCGGATCGTATAGTTTGTATTAATTTATGTTTAAAAAGGCTAGGCTAATGGCAAACCTACACCTGCAGTCTATTACAGTATCTTAGGTAGCTTCCACTTACATGGCCATTCACTTCTCCTTATTTATATTTTTGTACATGACACATTCTAGTTTATAAGGAATACTATTAACATTACCTCCTCCAACATTTGGCAGCAGCCACATATGTTACCTGTTGGACTTCACTCACTCTGTCCCTCCATAACCTGTACAGTATAAGTCCTCTTACACTCTTATTATATTCATTATACAGTAAATACAGTACAGTACTGTACTGTACAGTACTTTACTCTTTATATAAATACTACATTTGGTATTGTCCAATCTGTAAAATAGTTACTTCCCTTTCAAAGACAAAGATTGTCGTGTACAGATTCGTAAAATTTTGTTTGGCTGGCCTAAATTATAGGCTAATGAAAACAGCAGTGCCAGTCACAGCTGCTACTTGCTTCGAGAACCATAAGTTTGTGACTACTCATTTTTCATCTATACACCTCTAAAAGTTTTTAAAGAACAGTACTATGTTATAAGCTATGTTAGAAGATGTTTGCAGGGATACAAGGCAGGGGGTTAAGATAAAGCAAATGTCTGTAAGCTACTGTAGGTATGTGTTTTTGAAAGAATTAGCCTATCGATAAGCTAAATTGTTGGAATAGGGTAAGCCTAGCCTAGCTTTTTCTTTCATGGCTGAACAGAAATTTCAAAGAAAAGGAGAGGGTTGAATCCCACTGATTCACTAAATACAGTACAGTACAGGTATTCCTTGAACATATACTCATTTTAAAATACCAGGTAATTTAAAAAATAACAAATAATAAACTATTAACTCCTATTGAAACGGGTAGCAATGGGAATATGCATTTTAACTTGGTACCAAAGCAAATTATGTTCCACCTTTTCCTTATCCATTTTTCACTAACAAGTTC